TTGACTGGGCAGAGAAGAGGCACCGGGGCCTTTGCCCTCGGGGGAGGGGGGTGGATTTGGGCGACAAATCCAGTCTCCTGCAGACACACATACTGCCCAGCTGCGGGGCAGCGGGGAACAGCCACTGTGCTGTGGCCAAGCCCAAGCCCCTGGGCTGTGCAGCCTCTCCCCATGGGTATAGCACGAGCTGGAGGCAGAGCCTGCAGCAGCCTGGTGGAGGGTGATGTCCCAGCCCCACCACTGCAAGCACTTGCCTGCAGGCCCCACGGCCTCGTGGAGCTGACTCGTGGTGGGGTGCATCCCTAAGTTGGCTCTGAAACGCCCTGTGTTTCGCAGGAGGAGTATAAGCCAGGGAAGTCGCTGGCGGAAGAGGAGCTGAAGAACGCTATTAGCATCCACCATTCGCTTGCCACGCGGGCGTCTGACTACAGCAAGCGACCCAACGTCTTCTACCTCAGGACAGCTGACTGGAGGGTCTTCCTCTTCCAAGCACAGTGAGTCCCCCAGGATCACCAGCTGGGCCCCACGCGGGGGCACAGGGGCTCGTCCGACTGGGGTGGAGGGTGGGATGGGGCTTAGGGCCACATTACTCTCTCCTGTCCTGGCCCTTTCTGGAAGGAAAAGGACCTGGTGTCAGCACTGTGCTTTGCCCAGCTGCTCTTCTTCCCCTTGGGCTTGTGATGGCCCAAGTCGCTGGGGGCAAAGCCTCAGGTGCCAGGGCTGGCCAGACCAGGCCTGCGGGACCCAGATCTCGTCTGCAGGGCAGGTCCCTCTGCCTGTGACACAGATAGTGCCACTTAGAGCCCATCTGTGGTTTGGCTTTTCTCCCCAGGAACCCTGAACAGATGCACTCGTGGATCACGCGCATCAATGTGGTGGCAGCCATGTTCTCCGCACCCCCTTTCCCTGCAGCCATCGGCTCCCAGAAGAAGTTCAGCCGTCCGCTGCTGCCCAGCTCCTGCACCAGGCTGTCCCAGGTGGGCCGTGGCGTGGGGGCAGCCAGGAGCATGGGACAGACCCCCTGGGTCTGCTGGTGGCACTGTCCCCTGTGCAGGGCCCCGTGTGGTGCCATGCGCCCGGCTGCCTCCCAGCAGGGTACGGGGCCGAAGGGAGCGTGGCCGGGGAGACATGGAGCAAGGTGGTGCTGAGTTTGGGGGCGGGCAGCAAGGTCTTGTTCCTGGCAGCGGGGACAGGTGATGGAGTCAGACCGTGGAGGAGAACGTGGTCCCACACCACGGCTTGCAGGGTCCTGTCAGGGCCAAGACCTTGAAAGGTGACCGGCCGGGGGATTAGCTGGCACTCGTGCGTGCCAGAGCAGTTACTCATAGAGCAGAAAGGATTAAAAAAGACCCACCAGCCTAGCTTTAGAGGGGATTAAATTCTTCTGTTTTAAGACTGCAGCTAGCCCCCTGCGAGGCGGGAGCAGATTGCCCCCAAGGCCCTGTGCTTTTGCCTCCCATTTAAAACCCCCCACCCCACCCCCAACAAACCCAGGAGCAGAAGATGAGACCCTGGCTGGACCTAGGAAGGGAAAAAACCTGTTCTGGCCCTGGATGGCTCAGGGGCAGAGCGGGGCGCTGACGTGGTGCCACACTTCCCCAGGAGGAGCAGGTGAAGAGCCATGAGACCAAGTTCAAGACGATGTCAGCAGAGCTGCTGGAGCATCGCTCCTCGCTGCCTGAGAAGAAGGTGAAAGGCAAGGAGTACGAGGAGCTGAAGCAGAAGGAAGAGTACCTGGAGTTTGAGGTGAGCTGGGAGACGCCCCCCCCACTCTGCCCCCAGCCCCTCTGCCGCTGCCTGCTTGGCCATCCTGAGTGATGGGTCCC